CGCCCCTATATGTCTCCTGACTCCACTAGGAAACCCCTCACCATGGGAATCCTGGCAGCAGATGGGATGAGACAGAAGGAGACAGCGTATGAGGTTTTGCACCACTCCTCCCTTCTTCTGCTGCTGGTAATATCCTAACCATTTCAGAATAAGAAGACGTATCCTCCTTTTAGGAGGCTGAGGCCAGGAGGATCCTTGTGCAGGCTGGAAGGCTGGAAGGCTGCAAGTGAGTCATGAGTTGCCTCGCATGCACTCTAGCCTGCGCGCAATTAGAGGAGATCCCATCTCAAAAAAAAAAAAAAATGAAAACAAAGAGCTATCTCTTGTTCTCATTCTGGGCCCACAACTGATCTTCGCTGCTTCCGACTCTCACACCCCGCGTCAGTTAACATCATTGTCCAACAACAGCAAAGGAGATCTTTGTGAAACGACGTATAAATCAGCCAGGCTGTGTTGGCTCAGCGCCCCGTGAATTCCCGCCCACTTTTGGAAGGCCCAAGGCAGGCAGATCAAGAGCCGTCAGGAGCTCAAGGCCAGCCTGACCACATGTTGAAACCCTATCTCTACTAACGAATTACAAAGTAGCCAGCAGGCGCGTGGTCTGGTTGTAGGTTGTGTTGGTCATGTGTGGCCTGCAGCCTGTAATCCCATGCTTCTTTTGTTTGATGTGTGTGTCAGTGCCGTGATCACGAGGTGGTCAGGATCGATGATCCATCCTGGCTAACGCAATGATATCTTCCTCTTCCTTCGTTCTTATTATATAAATGTTACATAACATAATTTAGTTCCGGGCGTGGTGGCGCGCTTGTAGTCCTCAGCGCTTACTTGGGAGAGTGAGGCAGGAGAATGGCGGCGAACCCGGGAGCGGAGCTTTGCAGTGAGCCGAGATCGCCACTGCCACTCCGCTGGGGACAGAGGAGACTGCCTGTCATAAAAGAAAAAAAAAAAAACAAAAACAAAAAAAGAGCCAGGCATGGTTGGCGGGCACCTGTAGTCCCCCAGCTACTCGGGGGATTGCTGAAGGGCAGGGTATGAAATTCATCTTTGTAATCCCTAGGGTATGGCAGGAGATTGCAGGTCTAATTCTCAGATGGCCGGGGCAACAGACAGAGCAAGACTCTTGTTTCAAAAAAAAAAGGAAAAGAAAAACATAAATCAAACCATGTCACTTCCCCACTCAAAACTGTCCAATGGCTCCCCATCACAGTTAGAATAAACTTCAAACTCCTTGCCATGACCTATAAAATTGTGCATGATCTGGTCCTTGTGCGCCTCTTCTATCTTATCCCCTGACAGTCTCCCCTCATTAATTTCCCTGGAGCCACATCAACCTTCCGTCTGTCCTTTAAACGTTATGGACTCATCCTTGCCTCAGGGCCTTTGCACAACTATGCTCTCTACTCTCCCTTCAGATATTCTCAAGGCTAGTTCCTTCCTGATACTCAGATCTCAGGTCATATATTCACTCCTTCAGAGGCCCTCCCTCACACCCAGAAGTTACCACAACTATTTATCGCCTTCAAATTACAAATTATTGGGCCGGGCGTGGTGGCTCAAGCCTGTAATCCCAGCACTTTGGGAGGCCCAGACGGGCGGATCACGAGGTCAGGAGATCGAGACCATCCTGGCTAACACGGTGAAACCCCGTCTCTACTAAAAAGTACAAAAAACTAGCCGGGCGAGGTGGCGGGCGCCTGTAGTCCCAGCTACTTGGGAGGCTGAGGCAGGAGAATGGCGTAAACCCAGGAGGCGGAGCTTGTAGTGAGCCGAGATCCGGCCACTGCACTTCAGCCTGGGCGACAGTGCGAGACTTCGTCTCAAAAAAAAAAAAAAAAATTATAAATTATTACCTACAATTCTGTTGTTTGTCTGTCTCTGTCACTAACTTGTCTCTGTCACTAACTTGTCAATTCCATGAGAATAGAAGCTCAGACTCTCTTGCTGATGCTTTGCCTGCACACTGCAGATGCTCAGTAAATAACTGTTGGATGAAAGAATGTGAAAGAGACATAGACTAAACATTTAGCTACATCACTAACAATTCTGTGACTGTGAGGATGTTCCTCTCTGTCTCTGGGGCTCAGTCTCTGTAAAGCAATGGGACTGGACTAGTTGTTATTTGAGGGCCCTGCTGGCTCTGATAGGTTGTGTTTTGGAGATCCCCAAAACAGACTGCCATTGAGCTACATTTCCCTGGAACTCTGGAGACAGTTAAGCAGTGACCACTTGCTGAGAACAATTGCACAAGAATCTAAGGCTGACAGTTCCTTAGGTTTTTTGCTTACCAACTAGCTGCACTTGTTCCTCTTTCTTGGAGGCTGTCTCCTGCAGATCATGAAGGAATCTGCTGTTCACCTTGATGATATCATCAATGTTTGAGAACAGGACATCCAGATCTCCCTGTGGCAACTGGAAGGAACAAAGAAGCCATGGGAGGTGGTTAAGAGTTACAGAGTGTATTTGCAGACTTTCGAGATTAGGACAGAACACTCACACCATTCCCATCACTCTTGAGAAGACTGGCTGCCCCAGTGAAATTCTGCAAGGATTTTGAAACGTTAAAAATTGAGTATTTTCATTACTCTACGAGAAGAGAGGAACAGATGGAGTACTCAGTGTGGAAGGAAAGCTGAACCAGGGTTTTAGCCTAGGTCTGCTGCCAGCTGTCTTCTCTCAGTTTCCCCATCTGTCATTTAAGGGTGAGAAGTTAGACTTCTTTCCAGCTCTGACATACTTGGCACCTACCACCATGACCTCAAGATGTATTCTCTGGACCCTATTAACCAAGCTATACCGCTGTTTAAAAAGATGCAGGACATTTATATAAATGCACAAGCAGTGAAGGATGTGCTGGACACACACTCAAGTGGGAAAGCTAGCTGCAGAACAATATCTAGAGTCTGCTCTTGTTGTTAAAATAAATAACAACATACACAGTCAGGCACTGCATAATAACATTTTAATCAATGATGGATTGTATATACCAGGGTGATCTCATAGAATTATAATATCGTATTTTTACTGTGCCTTTTCTGTGTTTAGATACATAAATACTATTGTCTTGCAGTTGCCTGTAGTATTCAGGACAGTGACATGCTGAACAGATTTATAGCCTAGGAACAATAGGCCATACCGTCCAGTCTATGTGTGTAGTAGGCTATCCTATCTAGGATTGTATAAGTGCACTCTATGGTGTTCGCACATGATGAAATTGCCTAACTATGCATTTCTCAACACATATCCCTGGTGTTAAATGACACATGACTGTATTTGCTTGTTTAACATCTACAGAGAAAAATCCTAATTTCTGGAGGGTAAAATAAAAGAAGCACTTCACTTTCTACATTATCTACTTTGGTATTTCATTCAATGAAGAAAAACTATTTTTAAGTCCAGTATTTTTCTGTCAAGACTGGGATATACTCAACTAAACAAAATCTTTGCCCTTATGGACCTCAAATGCGAGGGGATGCTTGAAATGTAGCAAGCAAGAGCCTGCATTATTTCTGAAACCAGAAAAAGAAAATGTAAAAAATAAGCACTATAATAGTAACTCTCACAGTGATAATTTCTCCACGTCACCACCCTGCAAATGAGACAGTTAGAATGTAGGTCATGACTGGGTGTGGTGGCACGAGCTTGTAATCCTAGCTAATCAGAAGGCTGACTTGGGAGGGTGAGATGGGAGGATCACTTGAGCCTGGGAGTTTGAGACCAGTCTGGGCAATGTAGTGAGACCATGTCTCTTAAAAAAAAAAAAAAGTTTACCTTGGACTTTCCTGGGTGATCCGAGCCCGAGTCTTGCTCTGGCCTTTTGGGTTCCCCTGCCTGAGGGCCTGCAGGAGCTGTGGTTGGAGACCTGAGGAGGGGACAGAGCCCAGCCCCTCTCCTGTGGCTGAGCAGGCCTCTGTGTCCATGACACCTGCCTTTCGGGGACCTGGGGCCTGTGGGTAGGAGTCAGTCCCCTAGAGGTCTATTAGGGAATCCTTTTGTATCTATCTACACTTTGGGTTTTAGCTTCAAAGCTCCATCAGGTACAGTTCGCATTTCAGGATGGGTGGAAAGCTTGAGTGAGGGCTCCCCTGGTTTGTCATAGCTCCACCTTCCTTAGAGGGAGAGCGCTGTTGCAGACCCCCCATCCATGCCACACCAGCTCAGCACTGCACATCTAGAGGTGATTCCCAAGATTGTTGGTGCCTCCTGGCCTTCCTGCACCAGGCCAAGAGGTACCTCAGAGGTATGCTGGGTTCTTTGCCTCTTCTTGGTTGAAGGGTCTCTCTATATATGAATGTGTATATATAAATATAATTATAAAAATATATATATAAGATCTATTTTCTTCCGGAATTCTGTTAGAAAAGTAAAGAAAAAGCAAATGCTATTGATTTATCTCAGGGTGCCCAAAGAGGCTGTAGTCAATTTTTGGTACTAGGAAAGGCACCAAATGCATTTCCTGACTTTTAAGCATTTCCTTGTTGGAAGCCATAGAGGGGCAGGCCAAGTTGCTGACAGTGACTTTGCAGATCGAATAAAGAGACCCTTGAAGGGAAAGCAGGAAAAGGAAGAAGAAGAAAGAAGAAAGAAGAAAGAAGAAGAAGGAGGAGGAGGAGGAGAGGGAAGAAGGAGAGGAAGAAGACAAGGAAGAGGAGAAGGGGGGCAAAGAAGAAAGGAGAAGGAGAAGGAAGAGAAGAAGGAGAGGAAGAGAAGAAAGAAAAGAGAAGAGAAGAAAGAAGAAGAAGAGGAGAAGAAAAGAAGAGGAAGAAAGAAGAAAGAGGAAGAAGAGGAAGAAGGAAGAAGGAAGAGGAAGAAGAGAAGAGGAAGAAGGAAGGAAGAGAAGAAGAAGGAGAAGAGAGAAGAAGAAGAATATAGGTCAGTTTAAGCAATCTGTTCCAAACTTGAAAAGGGCTTGTTCATTAGCTCACATAGTTCTCCCAGTGATTATTCCGCTCCCCCGTTAGCCGAGGAATACGCTAAGATTCTAAGCCATGCAAGACCTTGCTGAAGGTTGCACAGCCAATAAATGGAAGCACTGGGGCTTACATCCAGGTCTGTACTTCACATCCACAATGCTTCCCTTCTATCAAGCTTGCCCCAGGAATGGATGGGAAATCTCAGAAGCTGGGACCCACATTTGCCCCCATAAAGACAGGTTGTATGTGACCCCACCCAAGTACCTGCTGGAGGCGGCTCCTGATGTCAGAGGCACAGAGCTGGAGCATGTGCAAGTAGGAGACCTCAGTGTCGATGAGCTCCTGGACAGCCAACCTCTGACGAAGCAGCGATCTGTCCTCGGAGGCCCTGCCTTCCCCATCCAGACTCCCTGACCTGCAGGACGGCTCGTCGGCTCCATGCTTGGCCATGTCAGCACGTTCTGGGAAAAGCAAAACCATCCCCACTCACTTCCGGGAAGAACTATTGGGACACGCTGTCTCTAATTCAATGACAATTTCTCATCAAGAGGCCTAAAAACATCTTAAGCTGCAAACAGAGTCCAGATGAACTGTTTATTAGCATTTGTAGGCAGTACTTGCACAATATTGAAAGGTAGATAACAGCTCTGATAATTCTTGACATTTTAGGCAGTGGCTCACGCCTGTCATCCCAGCACTTTGGGAGGCCAAGGTGGGCAGATCACCTGAGGTCAGGAGTTCAAGACCAGCCTGGCCAACATGGTGAAACCCCGTCCCTATTAAAAATATAAAAATTAGCCAGGTGTGGTGGCAGGCGCACCTGTAGTCGCAGCTACTCAGATATGCTGAGGCAGAAGAATCACTTGAACCCGGGAGGCAGAGGTTGCAGTGAGCCAAGATCACACCACTGCACTCCAGCCTGGGCAACAGGGCAAGACTCTGTTTCAAAAAAAAAGTTTCAAAATAGATAATTCTTGACATTTTAAATTCATTTCCCAGGACTCAGACAATGTGCTTGCCTGGCTTTTCTTCTATTTCCAATTCAGCTCTTGACCTAGATTTCTTTATCTAGTGCAGTTGAATCTCTTTCACCCTCTCCCAGTGGTCCCCCTACACCCCATCCTACCAGCTACCCCATTCAGGCCTTACTACCCATCGCCTGGGCTATTTCTACAGCCCCCAGAGTCATCCTTCCTAATCCACACTCCTCTCCTGCCACCACCACACCCATTCTTTCTGGACTCGCTTCCAGGTTAAACTCCCTGAAACAACGCGTGTGAACATGGTATACCCTGCTGTAAGACTTTAGTAGCTTCCTGCTGCTCAGTGGTCTGATTCCAACCTCATTTCCCCTTCACAGACTGCACTCCAGGCTCTAACTATATTTCCTCTTCACAGGTGGTACTGCAGTGGAAAGAGAGTTGAGCGCTCTTCTCCATACTTGCATTGGCATTTCCTGCTTTTGTACCTGCCATGCTCCCTCCTGTGTTCCTATCCCCCAATATTCACTTCTCTAAAGCCACTCTTGATCCTCCCCTCATTTCTCACTCCCACCAGCTGCACTTTTCTTCTCTGAAACTCCTACAGCCCTTTATCTCTAACTTTTAAAGTATCAAGGGCCAAGGTGCAGTGGCTCATGCCTGTAATCCCAGCACTTTGGGAGGCCAACATGGGTGAATCACCTGAGGTCGCGAGTTCGAGACCAGCCTGGCCAACATGGTAAAAATGCATCTCTACTCAAAATACAAAAATTAGCCGGGTGTGGTGGTGCACACCTGTAATCCCAGCTACTCGGGAGGCTGAGGCAAGAGAATCGCTTGAACCCAGGAGGTGGAGGTTGCAGTGAGCTGAGATTGCACCACTGCACTCTAGCCTGGGTGACAGAGCAAAACTCCATCTCAAAATAATAATAATAATTATAATAATAATAATAATGTGTCAAGGGCAATACCATGGACAAGATGATCTGAAAAACTTTCCTACTACAAAACACTTAGGAATGCTAGATCAGCTATAATAAACTTTTAAATAAACTTTTTAACTGCATGACAGATCATGTAAGAGACGAAAAGAAATCACTAGGGCCCTCAAACAGGGAGTTGAAAACCAGGATGGGGAGCAGCTGACCTGATGCAGCTGTGGCCCAAAGTAGAGGGGTGGGTAGGGAAGACATCATTTGAAACTCAGTGAACCAGAGACTTGGGCATTAGGGCCAGGTAGGAACAGGAGACAAGCTCCGTCACAGAACTGAGACCCCCGACCACAAGGACTTCTGTGAAATGGTGGATCAGGAAAAAAAAAAACACAACAACATGCAGCCATCCACACAGAAGATGACAAAGACAGTTCATCCCACTTCTGGGTGAGGAATTGGATTCTGGGTGAGGAGAAAAGGTCTCCATAACATAAATTCATAACAACACATCTGCCTTCACTGGGTTTAAGTCCAAATCAATGGTATACATGTGGTCCAGGTGGCCCAAAGCTAAGAAATTTATACAAAAAGAAATCCTGGATTCTGAGTGGCCATAACAAAATAAAATGTTTCCAGAAGGACCCGTCTTGAACCTAGGCCACAGATAACCATGTCCTGAAGATGAGTTTACAATACAAAATTGTAAGAATGCCCCTGTGGCTGAGAACCAGCAGAAACAACAAGAGCAGGAGTAGACCCCAAGAGTATCAGATAACCAACCAGTCAGACACAGGCCAAAACAGAAATGGGGAAAGACGAAAGCACTAGGACAAAAAATAGAGACCTGTATAATGTTTTACAAGTACCACATATGCCTGGGCACAGTGGCTCATGTCTGTAATCCCAGAACTTTGGGAGGCCAAGGCGAGAGGCTTATTTGAGCCCAGGAGTTCAAGACCAGCCTGGGCAACATAGTGAGACTTCGTCTAACAAAAAAAAAATTTTTTTTCATTAGGCAGGCATGGTGGTACATGCCTGTGGTCCCAGCTACTCAGGAGGCCGAGGTAGGAGGATTGCTTGAGCCCAGGAGGTGGAAGTTGCAGTGAGCCAAGATTGCCCCACTGCCCTCTAGCTTGGGTGACAGAGCGAGACCCTGTCTCAAAAAAACAAAAAACAAAAAACTGTAAATACAGTAAGATACACAATTGTTACACAACGTCCCTCATGTTGCCTTTTCACCTAATTCGCTCCAGTCCCCATCCCATCCTCACCCTTGGCAACCACAAATCTGTTCTCCATTTCTATAATTGTGTCCTTTCCCGAAATGCATGTAAATGGAATCACACAGTATGTAATCTTTTAGGATTGGCTTTATTCAATCAGCATAATTCCCTGGAGATTCACGTATATTGTGGGTATCAATAGTTGTAGTTCCTTTTTACTGCTGAGTAGCTGAGATGCTTTATTTGTTTATAAAAAAGTACAAAGGAAACATGGCAAAAATGTTAAAGCTAGGAGGTAAGTACATGGGTATTTGTTGTTTTGTGCTTTGTTATTTTCTGGATGGTTAAAATACTTCATAATATTTAAAATGGCACAGATCCTGTGTAACCTTATATTCAGGGTGCTCATTTTCCCGGCTAGACACTAAGCTCTTGGAGGCAAGATGAGCACCTATTTATCTTGTATTCTCCTCTGTGCCTCACTGCCAGTGATTAACACTATTTGCTACATAAAAGGTTCCTGTGGCTGTATTAGTAGTTGTTGAAGTTTCTGTCTTAGGCCGAAAGCATTGTCCCATGGATTGGAGAGTACATAAATGGGTGTTTGGGGAGGGTAGGGATGTACAGAGGGCAAAGGCCCAGAAAGATCCTGGAACAAATCTGTCAGATGCACAGCTCTATTCTAGCTCCTGAACACACCCCGTGATCTGCTGATTTGTCCCTGGCCTGAACTGCAACATTCACTACCTGTGCAGCTTCTCTAGAAAGATCCCCATAGAATTTCAGGAAAGCTATTCAGGTGCCACAACTCAAAACCGTTGCTAAATAAATAAAATTATGAGAAATACTTTACAGAGAACTACTAAAGACTTAAAATAGCATTAATTTGCACTTAGGTTAATTGTAGTCTAGACCTCCTAGCAGGCCTGGCCAAACCTCTCTGTAGCAGCATGTGTTATCCCTTAGATTATAGCCTGTGTAATGGAAAAAACCACATTGTTATTTCTTTAAAAACATCATACCCTTATTTGATCATTACACACTGTATACAGGTATCAAAATACCACGTATACTCCCCAACTATTATATATCCATTTAAAATAGCATGAAAAATAAACTAATAATTGTTTAAAGGAAAAATATCTATATTATTCAGCAATAAAAGAAATGAAGTACAATCGACCCTTGAACAGCATGGGTTTGACCGCATAGATCCACTTACACACAGAATTTCTCCTGCCTCTGCCAACCCTGAGACAGCAAGGCCGACCCCTCCTCCACCTCAACCTACTCAACACAAAGCCCACAAGGATGAAAACCTTTATGATGATGCACTTCCACTTAGTCAATAGTAAACATATTTTCTCTTCTCCATGATTTTTTAAATAACATTTTCTTTTCTCTAGCTTACTTTAAGAATATAGTATATAATACAGATAACATATAAAATATGTGTGAATCAATTGTTTATATTATCAGTAAGGCTTCCAGTGAACAGTGGGTCATCAGTAGTTAAGTTTTTGGTGAGTCAGAAGTTATAGGTGGATTTTCCACTGCACAGGTTGGTGCCCCAACCCCCATGTTGCTCAAGGATCAACTGTATCGATATGTCCTACAACATAAATGAATCTTAAAAACATTATGCTTAGTGAAAAAAGGCAATCACAAAGGGCCAAGTATTTTATTATTGCATTTATACGAAATGACCAGAATAAGCAAATCTATAGAAACAGATAGAAAGATTGGCAGTTGCCTAAGGCTGAGGGGATGGAGAATTGGGAGTTTGGAGCTGAAGGGTGCAAGGTTTTCTGGGGAAATGATGAAAATGTTCTAAACTGATTATGGAGATGGTTGCACAAGTCTGTGAATATACTAGAAACCATTGATTTGTACATTTGATTTAAATGGGCAAATTATATGATATGAATTATAGCTCAATAAAGCTGTTACTAAAACAATTTTATAGAATATCAAATGCTGGCAAGAATGTGGAGAAATTGGATCTCTCATACACTGCTGGTGAAAATATAAAATGCCTGGGTACAGTGGCTCACGCCTGTAATCCCAGCACTTTGGAAGGCTGAGGCGGGTGGATCCCCTGAGGTCAGCAGTTCGAGACCAGCCTGACCAACATGGCAAAACTCCATCTCTACTAAAAATATAAAAATTAGCCAGGCTTGGTGGTGGGCGCCTGTAATCCCAGCTACTTGGGAGGCTGAGGCAGAAGAATTGCTTGAGCCCGGGAGGCAGGGGTTGTGGTAAGCTGAGATTGTGCCACTACACTCCAGCCTGGATGACAGAGCGAGACTCCACCTCAAAAAAA